ATTAGCGAGAGTCCAAATACATCAATTATTATTACTGGGGATTTTAATCCCTTAAGTAATGGGTTTCAGGAAAGAGTCCTTAAAAATCATTGTAAGTTTAAACAAGTAATCAAAACACCAACCAGAGGTAAAGCAATTCTAGACTTAATCTTGACCAATGCACATTCGTTTTATGAAACACCAGTATCTCTGGCACCGATTGGCTGTTCAGACCACAGCGCTATTATGTGGAAATCGAAAGAACAAGCTCAAGGTAAAAATGAGATAAAAAAGATTACAGTCATGAGACCCATTAAAGAAACGAGGTTCCGCTTGTTTGAAGACTGTATCGGTCTAGAGACGTGGTCAGCGGTTTACGAGGCCCCGTGTATTAACACCAAAGTGAAGGCCTTTTTATCGATTACTAATGCAATGATTGATAACTGTTTTCCAACAAAAATTGTCAAGGTCCATAAAGATGACAAACCCTTTATGACTGGGAGGATTAAACAAATGATATCTAACAGAAATAAAATGTACCAACGTGGGAGAATTGAAGAATACAGATCGCTTCGTAATAAAATTACCTCAGATATTCGGAAAGAGAAGCAGAAATATTACAGTGAAAAAATCAAACATGCTCGTTGTTCCGATTCAAAGCAGTGGTGGAAAAATATAAAAAACATTACTGGACAGAGTAAACAGGAATTTATTCTAAATAGCCCACAGTCTGATACCCAGTGATGTGAAAATTACCAAAAAAAAGTAACGAGTAAAATTACAATTACTTCTCCAAAAAAGTAATTATTACTAATTACTTATTACTGTCTTTCAAATGTAATTAATTACCGATTACTAATTACTTTTTTCAAAAGTAATTAATTACTAATTACCTTGAAATTACTTTCAAGTTCTCATGGACTTAAACAACAATAAAAAGTTAATTCAAAAGGCAGTTCCAAAGTTAAGAGTTAAGACTTATGCAACAGTATTAAATTTGGAGTTCAGCTTTAAAAGTAGTGCCGACTCAAAATGGTCATCAGTTAACCGATTTCGGTGCGGGCGCATGATCAAGCCTCCACAGCTGAAAAGACGTTCAACAGCTGCACTTGCAGGCAGTACGGTGTTCAGCTTCAAAACCATTTGCTTCAAAGGTGCAGTACATTGTCCATTGTAAACTGTGGCATCAATAATAAAAGTCATCGTCATCATCGGTTTTTTGGAAAATAATAAAAGTGCCCAAAAGTAACGCAAATTACTTTTTTAAAATGTTACTCGTTACCTTCAAAAAGTAATTGATTACGTTACAAATTACTTTCCTGCAAAAAGTAATTAATTAACAAAAAATTACCCAAAAAGTAATTAGTAATTAGTAACGCGTTACTTTAATTAGTAACGAGTACTTACATCACTGCTGATACCCCACTAAATTCAAAAGACACAGCTAATCTGATGAACGAATGTTTTACTAGTCTTACTAGTAATTACTCGGAAGTACATGATAGCTGGTTTAATATTGGAATGGAAGAACAACTACCGAACATCACCGCAGATAGTGTAGCAAATAAGTTAAGTAAACTTAACCCGAATAAAGCAAGCGGGCCGTTCGACCCGAATGTAAAGATAATAAAAACATTCGCAAAATACTTCACCGAGCCGTTAAGTTACATCTTTAACGAATCATTTACTTGCAGAGTATTCCCAGATATTTGGAAAATTTCGAGGGTGTGTGGGATTCCTAAAAGTAAACCCTGCTCTAGGGTAGACCTTTTAAGACCTATTTCATTAACGAGTACATTATCTAAGATACAAGAATCATACGTTAACGACTGGATTTATGAGGATGTTTATGCTAAAATCAGTAGCAGTCAATTTGGCGGTCTGTCTGGAACATCTACAATACATGCGTTGATTTATTTGTTACATAAATGGCATATGGCAATGGAAAGCCACCAAAGTATTGTTCGTTTTACGTTTCTTGATTTTCGAAAGGCATTTGACTTGATCAATCATAATGTGCTGCTAGAAAATTTTTTGCAAATCGGCGTTCGTCCGGCTGTGGTTGGTTGGTTTGCATCATATCTTTATAACAGATCACAAGTAACGTCTTTCCATGGAGAACAGTCTGATTGTAAAAGAATCAAGGGAGGCGTTCCACAAGGGAGTAAGTTGGGTCGTATTGCGTTTATAATAAAAAATAAACCAATTACCAACGTTTATTATACCCAATAACCAAGATCAAATATGCAACGCCGTAGAAGACCAGGACGTAGCGATGTTTATGGATGACACAACATTATCGGAAGTAATCAATGTCAGTGACCATTTAGGTGGTATCTCTATCGGTAATACTCAAGTGAACGTAGACAAGGTGGTACAGTTTGCAAAGGACGAAGGAATGGAACTAAACTATAAAAAGTGTATGGAGATGATTATTGACTTTAGGAAAAATATATCCCCTATACCCCCAATTTATCTTGGTTGTCATAATGTTTCTCGAACGAAGTCATATAAGTTACTGGGAATATGGTTAGATTGCGATCTTAAATGGAAAACTAATACGGAATATATTACAAAGAAAGCGGCCAAGCGTCTGTATTTTTTAAAGATCCTGAAGAGTTATGGTGCCCCCATGGAAGATTTGTTAGCATTTTACTGTTCAGTAATTCGTCCTATTCTAGAATATGGTGCAGAGATTTGGAACGGAGGTCTAACCCAAGAGCAGAAAAAGAACATTGAACGAATTCAAAAACGAGTACTTAGAATAATTTACCCAAACCTAGACTACGATCAAGCAATAACTGAGACAAAATTACAAACTTTGGAAGAACGTAGGGTCGAATTATGTGTATCTCTAATTAATAAAATGCTGGAACCAAACCATAAACTTCATAGCCTCTTACCAAAGAAACTAAAATACATTAGGCAAAAAGAAACGAGAACTAACAGTCAGAAGTTATATAATTTCCCCTCTAAAACCGAACGTTTTAAACATAGTCTCTTAGTCTACTGTATATACTTATATAATTCTAGACTAGCTGATTAGGATCATCATTTTTAAAATTTTATCAGATAATGTACAAATAGGTATGCATTAGTAGTTTTTATACATATTGTAAATAAATATAGATCAGTAAAACTTTAATTTTAATGAATGACATGTAAATATATGGAATATATACCTTTTTTATACCCAAATTTGTAAACACATTGTAAATTAGTTGTTATATTTGTAAATGTGTCAATAAACCATTACCATTACCACTCATACACTGGCATTTCAATGGATGTACTCCAGTCTTCTATAAAGCAAATTCCATCTTGGCAACTATACGTCATTGATGTTCTGCAGAAAGATCTTTCAGTGGGTAACGAAGGGTGTGGACGTACCTTCGTTCCACAATGGGTCAAGAATTTCTCTTCTCTGTATGGAGCGAGCGTATACTAATAGAACACGGCTCGAGAATGATATGGACAGAATCATTGATGTATATGGAGTCGAAAGCTATAATAGTAATAATTCTTGATAGTTAATAGTAGTGTTACGAAAGTATCTAAATAGTATAAAAATAGTTCAGTTTGCACCCCAGGTAATTATAGATATTAGTTACGTCAAATGGAGAGATAATGAGCATTTTTGCTTGATCGCAGATAATGAAGTAGATATCATTTCGGACTTGTGTAAAAGTGTCAATTATCTGTCCATTAGGCAAGATAAATGATTTGTCAAACTGTCAAAGTTGGACGATTGCCTTGCATGGTGGGATGTTGTGTTTACATATTTCAAAGTCCAAGGCCGGTTCTTCTTTGACATGAAAATGTGTGCATGCTTAGGGCGTTTCTGTCAATCATTCTTCTGTATCGCGGTCGAGTAATAATAACATTACATCATCAAAATCTTGGTTCAATAAAATTGTAAGTAAATTTAGTTTAGTAGGTAATATAAAGTCTCTACCACAAGTCAGTCTACTAAACGATGTTGAGCACATTATACAGTTTTCAAACTAACATCAACACGAAATACGAGTAATAATTATATACTTTCTTTATTTTGGGGACAATTATATTAAAATAGGTATTATAATGTTTAGTGAAGTTCAATATTGCGAACTGTGCTATAGCCATAACATTAAATAATATTGCACTTGCAGTAACTATATATAAAATATTAGATTATAAAAGTTTGAATAGCTTGCCAATGGCGTGATTTGTAACAGTTGCACAGTGTGGGTGCGCCTTGCTAGTCTTTCCTGTGACCGACGATAATCCGCATTTAATGCTGAAGTCAGATGGGTCTTGACCGCTCGCGTCCGTTTTCTAAAGAGAAATAT